GACGTCTCAAGTTTTGAGCGAGAAAAGCGATCGCTGTCAGACAACGGTGAACAAAAGCACGCTGGGATTGTTTGAGCGAGAGCAAAGCCCTTTGATAATCAACATTTTAATTAACTAGGTGAAAATGTTTGCATTATTTCTTCTGCTTCCAACAAAGCGGAGAAGCAAATCATACAGGGATCAGTGCATTGCTGGGCGTTAGATGGAATGTAAATAGCCTCTGTTGATTACCTTGATAGCGAAGCAGTTTGGCTAACAAGAGTTCATGCAGCGTTCTGTTAGATGAACAAACAATTAAATATGTATAGATGGGTTGTGACTGTTACCTTTGTTGAGCTGGGAAGCACTTTGTTTTGCTCTGATACATAAGTGAATAGTTTTGGGGTAATTGTGTCCACAAACAAAAAGGTTCATTTTTCCAGCATGTTCAATTTTCACGTCAGGGTCCAGAACATCTTCATGCCAAGGGCCCCATTTGCCCCTACGTAAGCGTGTGTTGACTTCTGTAAAGCTTCTTGAAAACAACAAACAGTTGCTAGCGTAACGTCGCTTTTATTTAGTTCATCTTGGTGGGCAGAGGTTTACATGGAAAAAAAGTTAAATGATCTTTGGCTTAAAAGGTTTGCAGTGGATATAGCAAAGCTTTATATATCCTGACAGTTTGTTCATATTTCTTATGCTAAACCACAAACTGTGCATTTTATTGGGATTCCAAGGCAATACCGCGTAGAACTATTTTTTACTGATTCTTTGCAAAAATAACCCAATCTTACTAATTTCCACTGGTGCAGTTATCAGATAAATGAGTCATTCAGTACATTTATGTTTGCCTTGAAAAGAAAAAAATCAGCTGTTTTTCTGTACCGGTTGATAGTAAACCTCCCATATCAGAAGTGAAGAAAAGTGCATCAGGGCATTTTAATCTGAAAGAATTCCTGGATTCCTAAACCAGATTTTGTCTTTTTTAAAATTTAGAGCTTCGACCATCCACGCCTCCTGCGGAGACACAGCGGGACAAAGCGAGTGTGACAACCTGAGTGATCCGTGTCGTTCCTGTGACCCGTCACTTTTCTGACAACCCCGGAAACAGAAAACCGAGCTCGGACGAGCGCTTTCTGTGCCAAGACGGCGACCCAGTCTCTTTGCATTCCGTGCTGCACACACTTTGGAGGCGATTGTTTGATGACCCAACATAAAAGTACTGAGTGGTGAGCCGAGCAAAGCCTCTGAGAACTTCAGTCTGTCCTCGTATTGGATCGCGATCAATAAAAACTAAACAAACTTAAAATGTTCATTAGATTCCGTGATGAATTTCTGAATATCAGAAACAACACCGGATAGAGTTCTTCTATTATTATTTATTTATTTTTCCAGAGGATTTATACCAGTGCTTTCAAAAGCCAATGTCAAGTAATACAGTAAAGAGCAAAGATTTACATTGCACATGTAGCTCTGAAGGCAGCTACGTTAAAAACCAAACTAAACGCTTTTTCAGCAAACCACATGACTTCTGATTGCACTTTTGTAAACTTTTGTAAACTTTTGTAAACTGCAGCTTTACACAGTAAAGCTGCAGGATGTCATTTTTATAAAACTAAACATTTGCTAAAACTGTCATCATGTTGTGACAGAAAATAGGTCATCTGTGAACCACGCCCAGTCAGAAACAACCAATCAGAGACAAGCAGCAGGTCTTAGCGCTGACAAACCTCATGAATGCTAATTGTGCTAATGGTGGAGAAATAACTTAGCGTTACAGGAAAATCTGCCGTCAGCGCTGGTCATGCTAACTAGCCTTAGCATTCACAACAGGTTATGCTAGCTGCAGCATAGCAGAAAGCTAGAGGGGACGGCGAGGGGTGACTGAGAGAGCTAAGTCCCGCCTCCTGCCTCTGATTGGTTGTCTCTAGTTAGCGCTGGGAGTTTCTGACAGCTTCAACAAATATGTAAATCTTTTTTTTTCTAAAAGTTACATACTGCAGCTTTAAACCAATGAAATTAATATTAAACTTGTTCGAACAAAAAGGAATAAATATTTCAGAGGATTAACAGATATTTTTTTTAAAGTATGTAAATTAGAGAAAATCCAGTGTTTTTGTTGAAATTCGTGCCCAGGATATCCAGCTGTGCCCGGTGTATCTCACTATGACATTTGCGGTTGGCAGTTGGGGTCAAAGGGTAAGCTGTGTGTAGGGGGGGGGGCGGGTTGTGTGTGAGCAGAAGCTACATCGCTGATCGGGTCGAATCCGCCTCTTCCAGCCTATCGATTCGGCTGGATACGACCGATGAGGGAGCGCGGTCTGCAGGAGCAGAGGCTGAATCACACGCACTCCGATCGATACTCCAAACGCTCAGCGGCGTATTTCACCTCTGACAGTCCCGACTCCCCTTAAAAACAGCCGCCCCCCAGCCCCTCCCCCTTCTCATGTATTTACAGTATCTACCAAATCCTGAGAAGAGCTTTGGATGCGTGGAACAGTGATTTACTTGTTGCTGTTTTCTTTTAAAGGGGGCAGAATAATCTTCCGAGAGATGAATCAATAGGGCCAATCTCTCCCCCCCAGGAGGGAACGAGCGACCTGGCACTTATTGACGCTCTCACATTTCTAACCTTGATGCGCCTTAAGGCCAAAGTTGAAGCAGTCTCTGCTGTTCCCCGAAGGATTCAACAACAAACAATTTAAAAGTTTCAAACTTCACATGCTTTCTGTTTGAACTTCTGTAAATTCACGGCAGTTTCCTTTTTGACGTCACCGGAAGGGTCACTTTGTTTCGCTCACGTTTTGTGGTCTTAGAAACCTGATACGAGTAAAACCCAAACAAATGTCATCATTAGGTTTCCCAACTGCAAAAACACAAAGTCGCTCAAAGTGCTTTTGGTCAAATTTCTAATGAAAATATCTGAAAACGTTTTCAGCGCTTTACAGGAACTTGTTTTAAGTCAACAATCCCTCAATATTGATCTCAAAATATTTCTTCCATCTGCATTTTATTTCACTTACAAGACATTTCTAACATCTTCCATCCATCCATCCATTGTCCGTACGCCCTTGTCACTGGTGGGGCCGGGAGGGTGATCTAAATGACTACTTTTATTCAAAGTTTTCCTAAGAAATTGTTCATAATTATCAAACACCAAACCAGATTTGTTGCACAGCTTTTCCTCCAATAAATTTGTTTTTTCCTTTCCAGTCATTGTTGGGAGAAAAAAAAAGACTGCATTTGATTTGTCATTTTCTTTTTCACCACTTTGTCAGATTGTTTTCTTCCTCTTTTTTATGAGGTGAATGCTAAAAAGGAAAACACGAAGCATTGTGTTTTTTCCCCCCTCATTTTGAGGAACACAGAGGCAAATCCAACATGAATTGGAGCCACGGCAATGCGAGTAATAGGTGGAACAGTTTTAGCGGAAGGATTTGCTGTAAGCCGATCATTCCTGTGCTGACACAGTGAGGGGAATGTGCTGATTCACTTAACATAAGAGGACCTGACAGTTCACCTACGCCATTTTCTAACCTCAGGAAGGCAAAAAAAGTGTAACAGAAAGCAAATATCTAGATTCCTCTGAGTCTGTGTCCCTGTACAGTTTCACCCTGAAGTAACCAGCCATCTTTCATTCCTCTTACTTACAGATGATCCCTGCTGGATGGTATATGCTATTTTTTTTTTTCTGACAAAACATTCACAAATTTAAGTCATTTCGGGCAGAAGGATCAGATATGAGATTTTCAATGAAGTAGACAGGAGCAGCTGCATTTCCATTACAAAACACTTTGTCAACATTCCTCTAATAACAAATATAATATAGCAACTGTGGCACCTCCATCAAATAACAAACACAATTGAATTCACACACAAATAAGTTTGTTCACACAATAAGTTATGAAAAACATGCTGCACCATAGTCAACTATCAACTACTTTCTTTATTCTTTATGATTTGCGACAGCAGTAACATCCAGCTGTTGATCACGTGACTCTTGTGATGCAACTGCAGTTTTGTAACATAAACTAATTTCAGTTCAGCTAAGAAACACCACCTCATCACATCGGCAAAACTTTTCATGACTTGAAAATGCTAAATAAATAAAAACCTGGAAATTTGCATCCATAAAACACGGCTGCCCGAGCGCTAAAACTTTTGATCAAAAATGTTGTTTTTCTTTCTTCAAAACTGGCATCTTGCCGTTCGGCAGATTTATTTTTAAAAATGTCACATTGTGCAATTTTATGGTCAACTGAAAATGCAAGTATGATCATTCTTTCCAGAAAGAGGCAGGAAAAGCTTTGTAAGCTTAGCTTTCACTTTACCATTGAAATAAGGCAGCAAAGAGCCTAAATGACCCACTTGCAGTGTCAAACCAAATGAGCAACATGAGTCAGAGAGGAAAACTCTCCAGCGCCGCATTCTCCACAGGAGACAAAAAAAAAAAAGGCCACAAATATTTATGATTTTCCAGCCATGACGCCTCCCTCCCCCATACTGCCCATCTGAAGCAGTTGTGCCAGATTGCTCCTGGTGCCGCGCGACACACACAAGTGGTTGTTATCAGGCGAGCTGCTGTTTAACTTTGTAGGACACATTTCCATTGATTGGGCTTTGTAATTTTCCCCCCAAGTAGATCGTGTTAGCGGCGGCGGACCGGTGTGCATTTAAATGAACGGAATATTTCTCCAGCGCTGGCGAAGTAATTCCTCAGCGCTGAGAGACCCTGCTTGGTTCCCACACTCGTTTATGGGAAATGGAAGATTGGCACAGCAGAGGCCTGCTCCCCGGCTGAGGCGGCCCTTCAGAAGAAACAGGTAGCTCTTAAAAACGCCACACGTCACAGGCTTCGGTTTGGAGGAGAAATTCACGCTTTTATTTATGCAAAACGTAACAAGAAGATGTCTTTTTTTTTCTACAATTTTATTTGTTGCAACAAAGTTGTTGCATAAAAGAGGATGAGTAAAAAAAATATACAGCTCACAATTTGGAGTCTGGAGTGGTGCAGTGTGAAATGATTTTTCTTCAGTCGCTGTTGTACGCCAAAGGTCAAACACACCAGGCGAACTGTGGCACACACGAGCACTTTGGTATTTTCTGTCCTTATTTGGACACCGAATTGAGTTCCAAACATTTGTGTCACCCCATTTGTGCCTGACCCCAAAAATGATGTTTCACTGGAACAGGACGCGGCTCTGGCCTCCATAAGACGTGTCGCTCTTGGCAGGGTTGGGTGATTCAACTACAACAAGTCCTGAAGTGAAAACACAACGGAGGTACATTATTAAAATGCCCTAAAAGGTTTTTATACCTCCTGAGCTTTTCTGCATGTTGTCGCGTCTTAATAGACTTCCTAAGACTTTCAAGAAAGAATCAACAATTTTCTTACGTTTGTTCATGTGATAATCTATGCTACTTCCATCAGTGCAAATGTGTGTGTGTTTTTTAAAGGGACACTATTGTGTAAAATATTTTTTTTTATATTATAATGTTATTCCATCATCAGAAACATACCTGGAGTGTCGCCTCGATTCTTTCATGCTTGTTTGAGAAATCCTTCCATCTCCCATGGCAACCAATCAGCTGTGTAAAACGCATTGTTGGGCCTAGCTCCGCCTTTAAGGACAAAGCTCCTCCTCAGAGCTGCAGTTTTCAAGCTTCCGCCTCAGAGAGCTGCCCTCCTTCACGCGGCCCCTTCAGACTAGCCAGCAGCAATTAGCAATCGAGCAACTTCTCAGTGCAACTCTGGTAAAAATGTTGTTAAAGGGTTAGTGCAGGAGCCATGTTGTGATGACTTTCTGAAGGCAGAGTTTGAGAAAGAGCAAAAGTTCTTAAAGAGACAAAGGCCCAATTTCAAGGAGCTAAACTACAAAGTCAAGTTTTTTTTAAGTCATATTCATAAATCTAGCATTTTTATAACAATTGAAGGTAAATATAGTTACTTGCTGTGCTTTAAAATGGTCATGTGTCTGGAAAACACATAATAATGCCCCTTTTAAGAATGCTTGCCTCCATCATTCACCAAAACGGCCAACAAAGGAAGATGTAAACATGGACTGCGGTAAGTACACATGGAAAAAACTGATGTATGTTATTGTCTACAAGTACAAAGTGACGGTAGAAAGGGACAAAATGACAACAAAATGTGGGTACAAATTTCAAAGGGCCAACTTAGAGCTGCATCCCTGTTTTTAAGAGTGATGAAGCTTGTTAGGCCATAGGAGACAATGAGTCCCGTGTGTAAAGATAAAGGTGGGTCTTTTTATACAATATGATGCTTTATGGGAATAAATAACCATGCAAGGTTTGAACAATGCTCAATCTTTTTGTGGGTGCGCTCGATCTCCCCCTTACTCTCACTGCCTAACAAGGGTTCTGCTTTCTCAGAGCAAGTATCAGGAGTCCCAGCAGTCCTCCTAAAGCTGAGGAGGTCCCTTGTGTCTATATGCGTGTGTGTGTGAACAGAGCTGTGAGGATTTATATTTTGTTGCACATGTGTTGTGTTTACGTGAGCACACGCACACCCTTACTGCGAAGGTGTGTCTGTGTGGACACCCCGGATGTGGACACCCCGGATGGAAGCGCCACTAATAGCCCTGTCGTCTCTGCGGGCTTCGTCGCAGGCTCGGCCGACCTTGAGTCGGCGACTCTTAAAGGATGCGAGGCGCACCGGCTTTCTGCTCGAGCTCGCCGCCGAAGTTTGAGAAATATCGCGTAAACCCCTACATTAATCATTCAACTCCTGGGTCATTAAGCACCTCCAAATCGCCTGGTGCAACATCTACCTTTGGAGTCAAGTTATCTCCCCACTATAACCAAGAGCTGTGACATTGCTTTTTAATAACAGCTGTGCACACTAACACACACATTCTTCCCTGATACCTTTTCTCCTCCCAACCCTTCTTCATTGTCGGGGGAATAGTCGGTAGTTCTTCCTCACTTGTTTCATATTGTTGATGCAGATGGAGGCCTTTAACCCTAACCCTACAGAAGTAAGTACAAGCTCCTAGTGTTTTTACTGACGGTCTCTACTTTGTTACGCAAACAACCACAGAGATGTCACTTTGTGAGAGCCGACATGATTTCAGATCTTCATCAATGTATAGCACTACACACCTAGCCTCTACTTCATCAGTTTGCTTCATTCGAAGGGTCCAGTCCCGAGGGTACTGAGCAATGATCGCTCGCTAAAGGCGTGGACTCTGTTGAAGTTTGAAACAACTGGATCTGGTTTTACTCAATCGGTAATGTTTGGCCATGTAGTATTTAGTGTTCCAAATGGGAAAGAAGTTACGCTAGGAAGCTTACCGGAAATTGATTGTGTGTGCTGTCAATGGCCAGGCCCCAATGCGGAGATAGAATTGCCGAGCCTTTGCCAGCAATAAAATGTCTTCAACATTCCTCTTGCTCCGATTTTATTATTTAATATTTAGAAGCATGGCCAAAACAGACTCAATGGCTTTGTTTACTTCCTCTGCTGCCATTGCTAAGATACAACGACAGGCAAGCTACACTTTTAAATCAACGCAGAAAATTGGCATCATCATTCTCAATGTGACCTTTTTTTTGCTGATTGGCTCGGTCAATACTCTACTGGAAGAATTGAGCTCAATGGGAGGAATCCAAGATGGAGCACTGAAGGAAGCTGAGAATCGAGCAGAGTTGCATAGAAAGGGAATAGCAAGGATGTAACACAGACCAGGCAGTGAACCACAGCAGGTTCAAACACACACCACCTCAACCTTCAGATTTGAGGTGGAGAACTGAACTGAGACGTGTAAGAACCACAATCTAGGACTGTCAGGATGGTCTCCTGATTACCTTCTGGGAATATAACGGGCTGTCAGATGACCAGTCTTCATCTAATGATCAGTCTTCTTGGTAGAAACCTTCCTGTGCAGGTCCACCTGCTTCTGCTTACGTTGCTCTGTCTGTGCCTCCCAGGTTGAAACCCTGTTGGTTTCCTCACCAGCTCTTGAACCATCTAACCTCCTGTTGACCAGATCACTCACGGACACTCAGTCCTTCCATGGTTGTCTCCGTCCTCTTCCAGTCTCAGCTGCCTCCTGCCTGCCAGGTGGTGGCTAAGGTTGACAACAATTGTTGGGATCTCACCTCCTCTGGAGGACCAGCAGGAAACTCTGACCTTGCCTAAAATCTCTCACCAAGATTGGCCACCCTCCTTTATGCTAAGTCACTAGTCCATAACACCACACCTCCTCAGTTCGCCTCCTTTCAATATGTGCTGATAATATGTCTTCTCTCCAGACATCACTGACCCAGAGACCAAAACCACTGTTTACATATCGTTTATTGAAAATAAATTCCTGTCCTATCCTCTCTAAGACAGTAGTCTCTAATTGCATTCCTCAAGGGCCAGAGTCCTGCGATTTTATCACGTGTCCCTTATCCTACATACATGAATTAAATGACTTTAATTGCCTCACTAGCATGCAGTCAAACTCTACAGAGAATATTGAAACGAGGTGAGCTGAAGCAGAAAGACATGCAAAAGTTGCAGGACACAAAGACCATGACAGACAACACAATGTCACATAAATATAATAAAACTCCTTCAACTTTTTCAAGTTCTATGATGTTTAAACACGATTCAAATTTTTCAGGATGTGTAATTAATTGCATTTTAATTGAAAACTATAAATTGACATTATTAGCAACACTTTTAATTCAAAAACCCTTTTGCTGCTAAATTATTGAATAAATAGATATATGAGCTCAACAAATTATTTATTGCTTCCAATCTGTTTTGTAGGTTATTCAACCATCAGATCGGTGCAAAGTGTTATTATGCTCATTCGGCTGTCAAGTTTTTCAGTGACATGTAAACAATCCTTTACAGATGTGGACTGTAGCATTGAGATCCTGTTTAAGGCTTCAATAGCTCCAATGATAAGCTAGCTCCTTTTAGCACAAATTGTACATGCAAGTCTTTATCATCAGATTGTTTTTTTTTTTGTGAAAACAAACTCCCAGTGGGCCAATAAAAACTGACTGGTTGCCCATCGCTGTTTTTGTTTGTACGTAAGATTTATGGGCGTATTAGAAACGCATGAATACAAAAGTTCCGGACAGAATATGTAAAAAAACAACAACAACAGCAACAACAAAAAACACAGGATGAATTGCATTAAAATTTAAACTCGTTAAAAAAATGGGAGCATTGCAAACTGTACTCAGTACCTTTTGATTTTTGCACATATTATGTTGAATTGTAATGCTTTCTAATCTATGCAATTCATTCATTCATTCATTCATTCAAATGAATGCTTTAAAGTCCAAGTTAGGACAAAACCGCAACGCTTCAGTTGCAGTGCATCGACAGGACATTTCTGTAACAAATAAAACTTAAGTGTTGCTCTTATTCTGACCTGGAAGGAAAAAAGTGACATGGTCTTCAAACGAATCTTAAAGTTAAATTCATAAAATGACACATTCAGTCTGTTCCACTCATGTGAACGTCTTTCGTTTGAACAACCACATGGTCATGTGACATCTCTCTCTGCAGTAAGCAGAACATCACCTCCAAACAGCCAAACAAACTCTTTAATGAGATCAAGTTCTGCGCTTCTTTTGCTTTGAACCAGCATTTCAGCAGGCCTCTGATGAAGCACTGGTGTGTGAACACATTGGCTATTCATTCTATTACCATTATAATAGCATTACAATTGTCTTGGGGCTGTTATTTCCTCGTTAAACAGGCACATCTTGTAGCTTCTATAAAAACCTATCTCTAAGGGTTTCTGCTTGATTTATTACTGTGTTTATGAAAACAACGTGCAGGTCTTTTCTTACATTGCTACAGGTCTCACATTTTGTGATGGTATTGCTCTATAACATCTCTAAGAATATTTCTCTGTGCCCTGTACAGTATTTGCCTGATTGTGCACACTTGCAATTTTAACTTATTTTTTTTCATCCCTTTGCAGTTGTCCTCTCTTCATATGGTTGAAACCAGATAAATACACCACTTAAAAAGACTCTTAACCTTTTTCTCGCGACATTAAATCAGACTACACTTCTTGTTTAGGTCAGTTAGTATTAACAAAATTATTAATGTTTTCAGAACCCTGTAAGAGGATTTCAAAAAAAAATAAAAAATCTTTCAATTTTCTTCAAATTCAGAAGTCTTCCCCAGACAGCTCCTTCAGACTAGCCAGAAGAAATTAGCAAACATTTGGCAAAACTGATTCTGCAGAGCTCATTATATGAACTTCTTGACAGTGAAACAATTGTAGAAAGGTTGTTAAAGGGTTAATAGAGGAGCCACGTTGTGATGACTTCTTAAAGGTGGAGTTTCAACAAGAGCAGGAGTTTCTTAAATACAGAGCCCCAATTTCAAGGCGTTAAATTACAAAATCCAAATTCTTTTAAATCGTATTGGATATATGTAGCCTTTTTTAACAACTGACAGTAAGATACTTATTTGTTTGTGTTAGAAACTGGCACTATGTGCCTAATAAACACATAAAACTGCCCCTTTAAAGTGCCCAAACATTTTCTGTGTGAATCCGTATATGAATATTCACTGAGAAAAATTTGAACGCTGCTGAGCATCGTTTTAATATGGAAGCTTCTGGTGAAAAGCAAATATTAATTTGTCACAAGTAAAGTCTTCACACTACAACCACCTCTCTTCAGATTGTTGGTAAACAAACTGATGACTTGGTATTGCTGTAAAAGCCCAACGGAGTCCGGTTGGATTGCTCTGGCCCGCGCCCCATTTCGCCTTTTGAAGCACGCCTCAGCATCCAATTACTTTCAAATTACCAAGCAGAGAATCCAGGCAGCACCTTAGCAACGGGCAATGAGGATGGGATTTTGGGCTCGCCGGTGTGGGACCGGGAGTTAGCGAGCAACAGGGCTGACACGTCTGGTTTATGGATGACTTCTTCCAGAGCTCACAGGAAGCGTCAGTCTGTACGCGGCTCCTCCAGGGCTGAATTAGCCCTCTGATCCACTAATCAATTTAGAAAAGGAAGAGAAAAAAAATTACATAGGCTCTCCCACTTGGAGTCAGGGATGAAATATATTCCTCCTGGTGGTTTTCATTGCCCGTGTGAAATGGAGTCCATTTACAAAACAGAGCAACACTGTTGCTTTTTTTTTTTTTTTTTTTCCCCTTTCCTGTTTGATGTAAAGGATAACAGCTGGGAGTTGGCGTCTTATCTGCAGAAGGAAAAAGTCGGAGTCATTTTTAAGGCTAATGAGCTCAGTGTCGGGTCTGGAGGAAAACATTCCGGTGCTGACATGAATCATATCAAACATCATGTATTTGAGACCAATAATGAAACATTTAAATGCGGCGCGCCTCTTACCAGGACGGTGATAACAGGTGAGTCAGGGATCCGTCTAGTTACCTTCAGTGTGACAGATGAGTCCAGGAAGTGGGCCAGCTCTGCAGGTCGCTGAACTGCAACATCAGGGTCGAGGCGTGACGTTTGCACGGCAGTCGGGCGTCACTACACACTGCAATAAACGACCAGAAACACATCTGGAAGGGGATGGGCACGGCATGGCTAATGGTACAGTGTTTCATTTCTGTTTTCAACATTTCTAGTTCAAGAACTGCTTTTCTTTATGTCCATCAAAGTGACCTTGTCCCTGAAGTGACCTCATGTGTGGGAATGGCACCTTACGCCGAACAGAACTTGATTAGTAAGCTCAAAGAAGGTTTTGAATGAAAGGTGTGAAAATGTATTTGTACCCCTGCAGATTTCCTGTTTTTGCATTCTTTTTTTGTCACACTTACATGTTTCTGCGATGGCTTATAGCAACCATTGTTGATAAAAATAAATATCTGCTGAATCTCAGAAGTTTTCTAGAAAACATGAGCAAAATTCTGAGCCCCAAAAGAAAAAATGTCCAATATATTTATATTAAATTAGTGTGTTTCTTTTCTCAGGTTAATTGGCAGATATTTGGTTGAAAATACATTAAATATTTGATTGCGTTGCGCATTAGCCCTTTAACCGATCAAAGGTTACTTTCAGTGTCACTTATGTTGTACACATATTATCGTTGCTTCTCTAACGTAATAGATCTCACTCTCACATGCTTCAAATTGATTTTTGATCCATTAAGATACTGATTAGTTTATGAACCTTAATATATTTACATTTCTTTAATATCAGTACAAAGTGTTTTTTGTTTATATATATATATTTTTTTTTTTGCGTGAACAAAAACAGAAAAAAGAAAAAAAAAGAGAGAAGTGAGCATTAAAGAGTCGCTTTAGCTCTCAGACTGAAACTAGCTCCAGAATTTTCCACTAAGTCAGTCATACTATAATCACCCCGGCCCTGTAATTAATCATCCGGCTGTTTAGTGTGATTGCGATGAATATTCAGTAACCCACTCAAGTCTTCCAGCCGACCCTTCCCTCTGCCTCGTCCTAATTATATTGCTGCAGTCGCCCCGTGGCGTTG